AAACGGAAGGGAAATGGGGTATGGCACCTCCACAAGAAAATGGTGCAGTGCCTAGCACCAGCCCCATTGCATCTGCACCGGACCAATCCTCAAAGTAGTATAATGAACATGCATTAGGTGGCTTAGCTTGCAAGATTCGACAGTCTGATAGTCATAGGCCGAGGGAAGGGTTACAATGTCAATAGACATAACATGGATGGGAATAAGTTCTAAGTATGTAAGATGAACTAAGAATCTTGGAACTCTTTCTTCTTTTCTTTTTCCTGGGATCAAATAATGTATCTAAAGGCGCATGTACATGTTATCCAGTTCTACTAGCAGATTATGTTTTTATGTAAAATTGTAGTTTGATGAATTATAGGATATTTTTTACACTATTGAGGGCTTATAAGCTTGCTTATTTTATTTGTGAGGAGAAAAAAAAAGGTATCTTATAAGCCCAAATAAGCCACCCAAAATACCATGGGAATTTATAAAAAGAATAGCAAAAAATCTTTTGATACTTTTTTGATGAGCTTTCTTTAAAAGCTTATTTTACTTACGAGGACAAAAAAATAAAATAACGAAATAAGTAGCTTATAAGCCCAAATAAGCCACCCAAGGAAATTTATAAAAATAGTAGCAAAAAATCATTTGATACTTTTTTGATGTGCTTTCTTCACTTTTTATTTAGTTTTATACGTGTGATAAGGATCACTGTCACATTATTCAATCAACAAAAAATGCAATTTATTAGACAATTTGGCTATGGTTTCACTGCTACGAGGAATGATGATTATCATTCTAGATGAATTATTCACTTTTAAATAGACTATACTGACATAGATTATACATTTATTTTTTTCTAAAGTATTTTTTTTCTCTTTTACTTCTATTATTCCATCTCGACATCAAAATGCAATTGTTGAAAATAATAAGAAATAAAAGAGACTAGCACAATGCATTTTGAAATAGTAATTTGATAAAGAATGCGTGGTTAAAACTTAAACCATTAGTAAAAATTTTGAGTTTGCGTGTAATAATATTTTATTGAAAAATGTCTGATTAAATATATAAGAAAGAGAGAAAAATGTATTTTAAAAATAACGTAGATCAAACAAGGGAAGTGGATATAACACTACTTAAGACTTAGAGTGTGTTTGGTAGAGATTTTTTGGGGAAGTATTGATTTTTGAATAGTGATTTGA